TACTACACATCTTATTGGGCAAACCCTCTCCATAAACATGAGCTACATTAGACCCCAAAATGGAACATGCAACTGAAAACAGACACTACTGCAAGAGGCCAAATGTCAGGGGAGAGGGGAGCTGCTCAACGCTTCAGGCACGACAGTCATTATAGAATAATAGCCAACGCTCTATCCGCAGTAATTTACGGTCAGTCTCAGTTGTTGCCCAGTGATGTCCCATGAGTTCCCTTTGGTCACAATTGTAACTGGCGAAAACTATAAGGGGTGGGCGTAGTGGGTTTAATGATTGAACGCTGCAGACATGTGGTGCCTCTGCCGTGTGTGATGGGTGTTGTAATTCATCGTAGTCGTGTCAGCTGCTTTTGTTAAAAGGCTGTCCAGCTTATTATTTTTATTGCAGCCCAAACAAAATCAAACTCAATGAAGAACATGTGCCTATTTGATAGATGTGATGCAGTCCGTGGATGCCAAGGGGAGAAAAAGTTCCCTCTGGCAAATAAACGTTTGATAATACTGTTGTTACCAATTACATCAGAGAAGAAGAAGAAAAAGTAGTGATGCAGCATCCAGTCAGTTACAGTGGGAATATCTCATAATAGAATATGTATATAATAAGCATTGTATAATATACATATATTTTATCTATATTTATAGCTAATTTACATTTTATAATACAATACAATATACCTAAGCGTGCTGAAAAAGGTCTATGTGTGGTAAACACTGAGAGTTATATACCGTATATTACTAGTTATCTTCTGACCGAGGGATTCTACCCGGCGGTTTTTAGAGACATCAACAAGATGAGGGTTGTTTGGGACTTTGACTGTAGGCTTCCCAGCACCCCTTGCCTCTTCCCTGATATCGGTAACCCATCCGACCCGTCTTAAACAGGGAGGCGGTCTAGTTTACCATGCTTTGTGCATGTGCCCTTTTTTTCCCCATGTCATCCTTATCCATGTGCATACAATCAATGCATGTTTTATAAATGTGTTAACAAGAACAGTTTTTTCACTAGCGACTTCATTTTACACTCAAAGTGCATCAATCACCAGAAAGAAAACTCTACCAGATGGACGTTTGGCTTACTTCATCACACTTTCTCGACTGTGACTACAAGTTACTTCGTAACTTGTTGCTTTGTCGTATTTTGCTAGACACAGTTTGTACAGTGGATTTACCAAACAAAAACTGTTTTTATGAGAGCAGCTCATATGTTTATATACAGAAAATGTGCAGTCACGAAACCTGCTTTAAGGCGAAGTAAACGTGCATCGTGCAGTTTTTTTCTGTAGGTTTTGGCTTTTCTTCCAAACCCAACGGTGGTTTGACATCAATGAAAATGCATTTTGTTTTATAAAACCCTGGACAGAGTGAAGGTGTCCCAAGACATTGTATTTACAGTTTTGGTTTGTAACTACTGTGCACTGTTATCTCCTTTGTGATGTGTCAAAATAAGACATGTCATGCAATCGAGCCAAAACGAACATCCATGAGTGGCGGACATGGCCAAATAACCTTGCCAACATAACTTTTTACAAATGTAGACAAAAATGTACATTAACGCTTTCCATGATATAGAGGAACAAGGGCATACTTTCTATAAAACAGTGGTTTAGTGCAAGGGATCTTTCTGTTTGAGAACGAAAGGAAAACGTGTGTACTTGTGGACTGCACCTTAAACGAGGCCAGCAGCATCTAGTAAACCCAGTTTAGCCAACAGAAGTTGTCTGCTTGCTGATATAACATGCTTTGCTGCTACCAAGGAAATACATTCCTTACAAACTCTTTACCACAGAAGCGGATCAATCATCTGTCAAGCAGCCAGGAAACACAATGTCAGGGAATATTCTATCATCATATCAGCCTGGAGAACTATAATAAAGTGTTCTTTTTGCAATTCAACCACTTGCAGCTAATCACCCCACCTACAAGGGGGGAACACTGCACAGTATAAAACGCAGTCCATACACCAGGTAGGATATTGTTTACCAAATACCTCCATATAGTCATAACGTTAATGTTGTAGGGTGGACTATTAGTGCTTTCACATAGTTTCCAGATTTGGTGACATATCACAATATTCCTAACATATTGATACATTGTCTACACATGGATTTTTTTGTATAACAGTTCCACAGTGCAGGTGTGTACAGGGAGAAATGTCACAGACTAGTCAGCGGTTCATATGCTTGCTCATGGGTGCTTTGGCAAAGGAGATGTTTGGGTTTTCGTCTCTGTGCTTAATGTTTTTATACTTGGCAGATGAAATTAGCCCCAGTAATCAACACTGTCACACTTTTTTCTTGTCTCCCTGGCATCATCACTTTACAATGGCCTGAACACTGAAAGCAATAAATAAATAAAAAAATGTCAAAAACAAAATGACAGCAACTGCTTTAATAGATCCAGCAAGAACATTTGCTATTTAAGACATTCAAATTAACAGTGTGCCATGAATTGATAAGGCATCTGGTGATAGAATAAGTATGAATTTTGCATTATATTAAGTATGGGCATCAGGGTCTAAGACCATACGTGCATCAGAACTATGATGAAGTGTTTAACTAACTTTATAAAGTGAGCAGTTCACTGTAGAAACAGAGTCAAGCAGATATAAGAAATGCTTTGCTAACATACACATACTCGGTTGCCTGTGTGATACAACCAGTTAGAACTAGTGCCGTGTCATGAAGCCGCGCTGCAAGATATTTACAATATTCAACGATGTTCAGTTTTATGTAATATATCAAGTCATTGTGGATCTACTATGTAGCTCTGTTAAATTGCATTGAGTAATACCACATGGTGGTAGGGTTCAGTGCAGTATTAGACTGAATTGACACAGGGCAAGTGTAGCTAAAATACTGGCTTTGGAGTGTAACCTGCTCACCACAGAACCAAACCACAACACTGCAGTAAATGCAGTAAACCCTCAGTAACTAACATCAACACACAGCTCAGCACAGCGAGCTGGCCTGAATGAAACGTGTTACATACATTTAAGAAACAAGCTCACACGGCAATGTGAAGTGTGAATGTTCTTGATATGGGTGTATTACATGTGACAGTGTTGAGGCCTTTACCTGGTCCATCCGACGCTGACAGGGCAGGTGAACTCAGCTTCGGCCGCTTAGAGTTGGGAGGTCCGACGTCCAGGAGGTTTTCAGCCATAGTTGTTCTCTATGCCCGGCTCGTTACTTAACTTGATAAATATTGTCACCTTATGACAGGGAAGTTGTTGTATCAACCCGAAGCTTCCCGGTTAACACATTAGCAAGCTGGCAGCCTGCTAGCGTTAGCTAACTGGCTAATAGCTAGCTAATTGCCTGCTACTAGCTAAATTAACTGTTAGCGTTAGCTTGCTGCGAGTCTTTCAAAAGAGATGCAACAGCGCCCCGCTTCGCCACCGCCATTCACCCCATGATAATCCAACACCCAACACCCACATTATTATCGTTAAATAACCCAAAATAAAATATCCCCCATGTAAAAATCGAAAATCAAAATGACACTGTAATAATAATCCGCAGGATTGCTGCACTCCGGGGGAGAGTCGTAATTTCTAGATGCTCCAAGTACCCATTTTGCGTGACGTCAAATTTCTTCATGCAAAAATCGCGCGAAGCTCCACAAAAATGCACAATTGCATAAAAATGCAGTATTTTTGCAAGTCAACTCGAAAGTCACTATCTTGTGTCCGCTTGCTCACGGTAAACAATACTGCTCCTGGACGGCGACAGTGGCTGAATCGCCGCACTCCGAAGGGGAAATCAGATATACGGAGCCTTTTTGCCCGACGACCACCGATCAAATCCCCGTTTTTTCGCACAAAATGTCTCCACGGGGATGTTAAGATTTCGTTTTCGGGGGAAGGACGCTGTCAGATCGCGGCCAGGATGCTCGATGTTCTACCTAAAAACCAGTGTTGAACCGAAATCCTAATTCCGAGCCACGACAAGATGGCGGCTGTTGATTCCTTCGATACAAAAAAGTTTTTTTTCTTTTCCAGATCGTCTGTGGAGGGGGAGGGGCCGCGCTATCACGCCCTACGTGAAAGCAGCGAGGACATTACCCGCGAGGGGCGCTCCAGCACCGCCAGACACATTCCAACAGGCACTTCATACATTTATCCATATTTTAATTTAAAGTTAAATTGTATATTAAATATCATGTTAAAATTAAATCTAGTTTGCATATTTATTTTAGTTCTGTATTTCATGTAATTTTAAGAATTAAACTACCACAATTCCACCTTCTAGTCTATAACATAAGACATTAAAAATAAATACTGTTATTATATAGTCAACGAGTAGAACGCTATGATGGTAGTAGCATCACCCGTCCTTTTTATTAAAAAGAGTGAAACATTTGTTAAGCATGGTGTAAACTAGATTATCTATTAAATTATGTATCTTTAAGACCTAGGTAAACATTTCACAGGAACTGGATTTTTTTTAAATTAAGATAGCGTTTATTTCTACATTACAAAGTTAAAGCAGAAGTTTGTGCATGCTATTCCTCCCTGCAGATGAGCACAGCCAAAACAAAAATACACATACCAAATATTCATTTTCTGATCACATTTTACTCATCTCTTCTGTTGAACTTTCCCCTCTTCCTGGCTGATTTTTATATCTCTCTATTACTTTTCTTTTTCTTCGCTCCTAAAAGTAACTTAAACTGCAGCTGTCAAAAACAAATCATTTATTTATTTAGGTTTTTTATCATATTTAGTAAGAACACTAAATATACGTATGTAAGCTGTGTTCATTACCAATGCAATTACCACCAGCAGCAATGTGAATATAGCTTGACTGCCTACATCTCTAATTTACACAGCGATTTAAAAACAAAATAAATAATTCAGTCTAAATATTAGGCTTATCTGCATTTGTGGTTTGACTCTTGAACTCATTTTTACTTTACACTCAATTTTTCTCTGCTTTAAGATTTATTTCTCTCATACTAAAGAGTTATAAAATCACAACATCCACAAAAATTCAATCAATTTTTATAATACGTGTCGCTTTTTCATTGTTTTTCTGGCAAAATCTGACACATGCACAAGTATAAAAAAAAAATCATATGTGACATAAAATAACTGCATATGTACAAACACTGAGTGCTTTGTGCAAATGTGTACAAATTACGATCATGTGGTGATAAATGATACATGGGTAATGTGCACAAAACATACATAATACTCTCATTTTTTTCTGAATAATCTCATTCATGGACATAAAAACAAATACACAACGTTTTCCGATCAAAAGACTTATTTCCGTCCCAGTGTAATTAAAAAACACATCAGGGATGAATTTATAATGAAAAGATGTGGAAAAGTCACCATTTAAATGAGTGATTAGGCAATGTTATTTGGCTGTTATGATTATACCAAGTGCAACTGACACAATCTCCCTTCATTATTTTTTAACAAAGCAAAATTGCATTTCTTCAACAAAGGACGACTAAATGCACTTGGCTTTGTTTTCTTGCATTTTAAAATGCTGGACATCAAAGGACACTTTTTTTCTTCTGCTTAAACTAAAAAAAATCTTTTCATACACATCATCTAATAACCAACTGTCAGAAAATAATAAAATCCAAGTTACCTAAAATGAGCAAAGCGTAGTGATTTGGAGGATCCTGCGTGTAGCCAATACATTCTTAATGATCAACATAATTTGAGAAAGAATGAAAATGACAAAATAGACGATAGTATGTTGCAGAGTCACAAAGAAAATTATAGTGTCTTCTGGCAAAAAAAGAAAACTTGTTTCCATGCATTCAAAATCGCACTCACTTCTCGCCGCCGAACTGTGTCACAGATCACAGAGCCGGTAGTGTTCACTTTAATATTTTATTCATACGTGTACAGATGTGCGCTACTGGAGGGGTGTTGTGCCCTGTGGAGCCCCACTCCTTGAATCATGACTTGTTTCTGTTACTGCTGTGTACGCTATGGCTAAATGACACCAAGGATTGATTTTTCTTAAAAACAGATACCTTATATCATCATCTGTTTAAATAATTTTCTGTGGTCTGGTTTATTGGGTTTGGCAAACTTGAGCGTGTTAAGAATATGTATAAGAGGTGATTACAATGAGAGATGTGCATGTTAGAAAATATCTTGTGTAGCTATTTTTGTGTCTTTACTTCTTTGGATTTTCAGGGTATTTAAGCTCCTTGGGTCTTCTTGATTATTTGATACAAATAATCACAGCTCTCAAACTATGATTAAAGATATTACTAAAACAAAGGCACAAGTATGATTAATGGCAGAGGTAAGCTAAGATTATTTTCATGCTACAGATGGCAAGATACTTTAGCCCAAATGTTTATATGTCGATATGGTTTGCAGAGGACAAACTTCATGGCTTTTTTTTAATGCAACATTGTTTGTGTAATTTGTTTACATATTAGGCAGCAACAGCTAAATGTTTAACAGCGGCCATGTTAGTGATTGATTTGGTTTTTGCATCATATTGCAGTGATCTTCAACATGTGATTGACTTGGATAAGAAATGAAATATCTTTCTCACAAACATACACGCAAAGTGTGAGGGGAAACAAGTGCTTAAAGGAGTAAAGAAAGAAGCATGAAGTGAGTAAAAGAGCAAAGTGAACTACAGAGATGCCAGCAGTTCAATGAGAACACTAACACTGCACTATTCAAGGCGACCGGTTAATCAGATAATTAAAGAAACTGGAAAACAGCAAGAAAAAGAAAAAAGGATGGAATTTTACAAAAAAGCTAAACCTGCACAGAAAGATGCATACTTTTCTCAAACATACAATCATAATCTATTGTCAGTATGAAAACAGCATGATAGAAAACTTTCTGAAAACCAAAATACTCCAAAAATACAGTCATACTTTGTAGGCACCACAAAACATTCAGCTAGTTTAGGTTGCACTGCACCTATAGATCACTCAATTAAAGTGGCACAATTTAAGTATATTGATACAGTAGAGGGCCCCCTCCGTATAAAGGCTGTGACAAGAAAAAAGTCCCACACAGGCAGAGAATACTTAACTATTGAATATATCTATAGTGATGGACTGACCAATGTTTTCTTCTGGCCATGAAGGCAACCAATGGAACTCAATTTGAGTGTGAGGTTTCAAACGCAGCACTGCAGAAACTGTAGTAGATCTGTGCTTTGACACTTTTATTATCATATCAAGAACAGTGATTGTCCCTCACTACAAGTGATACTCCACGCAAGATCTTTTGAGTGTCAAACTCTCAACCCACTGTTGGCTTTAAAGGGAAAGTTGTTCTGAATCAATGTAGCCTTAGAGCTATGTTGTTGTCCAAAAACTAGTAAACACATAACAACACATTTATTAGCCGCAATGTTCCTTCATTACAACAAAAACAGGCTCTTTAGTTAGCCCACATACACTGTCCTGCTGCTGTAAATACTCACTAGCCCACAGCTGAATACAGTCCCGAACAAATGCAGTATTTACTCTGATTTGAGAAACATTTGCTAAGAACTACAGCCCCCAGGGGCTTTTACTCCCTCGCCTAGGGAGTGTTGAACCCTAACGAACCTTTCTTAAATGTCATTCCCCATCCTTCTCTCCTCCTGTTTTTGCTTTACTATCTACAGTGCCCAGTTTTAGGGATTGTGACCTATACGTTAGGTAAGTCAGAAATGATTAGGAGATGTTCGAGTATGGTTCTTTCACTTGTTTGCTTTTTGTTAATAAGAAAATTACTCAGAACACTTTGAATCTTGGGTGGAGTATCACTTTAGGTAAAGTGCCTTCCTGCTTTTGTGATGATTTCAGTTTAAAAATAAAAACTTTCCTCCAAATGTATATTCCCTTATCTGATTTGATTTTGTGCTTTTGATTGTACTCATTGTGATGGACTCTGTTGAAATACTCGTATAAGCTATTTCACGACAATAGCTACCAAATACAAGTCGTCGAGAAAACACTGTGCAAGACCTGTGCTTAAAAAGTTGCATTTAGCCGCAACACAAACTAAAACCTATGCAGCCTGCTTGTAGCATGTCCCCTTTTACCTAAACTCTAGCACAAATGAATACTGTAGAAAGCCCTCATGTCATCGCAGAGCATAAATTAACACTGCTTCATGTGATTCCCTCATTCTTCCCATAGTTCCCTGCTCAGCCCATCATAATGCACTGGCACTTACATAGAAACTAAAATAATTTCCCTTTAGAAAGGTCAAGAGTTTGATCAAGTTTCAACAACTGATATGGCACAACAATATTGTTTAAGAAATACTTGCATTGAAAATAAAAGCATGGAGTAAGAAATCATGTTCCGTAGTCTAAAGTTGTTAAAACTTTGTTCGGTATTCATATTTGTTCGTTCACTGATCTAGTCCTGAAGGCACTTAATAGCAAAAATGAATAAGACAAAAACATCTAGAACAAAACAAATGAACTTTTGTTTCTCTGACGCCCATTCAGCCTTCTCCCCGTAACACTGCTGTGTTCAACACAGGGCTGCCCTCCCCAGCACTCAGGCAACATTTTCCAGGAACGACATGAGTAGCTAGCAGTATAGCAACTGTAGCCACTGTTAGTGTTCATTTCCCTCTCCTTCATCCGTGCCCAAGACACTTCACCTGCCCGCACCTGCCATCGGTCCTGTAGCGCCAGCAGCTGTGGGCATCGGGGGGGGGGGGGGGGGGGGGGGGGGGGGGGGCAGAAGACAGGGAAAGTGGAGAGGACAGATCAGAGTCGAGCATAAAACTCCTCGTTGAGTTTTGTTAGCTCGTTGGCCTCCATCTCTTCATCCTCCTCCTCTTGAATCGCGAGAGGAGCAGGTTGCACCCAGGAGGGCACTGAGTCCAGTTCAGAGTGGGGAGGGAGGGGGCTGTCTGCGGCAGGGGGCTGCCCAGGAAGATGTGGAGGGTCCCTATACCCCTCCTCCCTCTCCTCTGTGGGCTCATACTCAGGTCCTGCTGTTGAAGGCCTTTGTGGTTGAGGAGGGAGTGTAGAAAGAGAGGAGGACGGAGGATTAAAAGAAGAGGGAGGAAGAGCCGCTGCCTGGGCAACAGATCCTGAAGTCTTATTGGCTGTTGGTGCCACGGATGAGGGACCGTCGCCCAGGTCTGTATGATCTTGATTTATATTTTCCCCACTTTTGGGGTACAGGAAGGTCCTCATTTGACCTTTTCCCTTAACATTCACTGTGCCTCTATAGTCAAAGTCGAGGCACATGGCGCTGAGCACAGTGTGGCTCTCCTCGCTCACCTGCACCCGACACTCCACTCCTGTGGAGTCCATGCGGCTGGCTATGTTCACCGTGTCCCCCCAGATGTCATAGAGCAGCTTAGTGGTGCCAATCACCCCCGCCGTCAGAGGGCCGTGGTTCAACCCGATACGGAGCTTGAAACCAAAACCCAGCATGTTCTTGTTGAAGTCGTCCAGGACGCCCATCATCTCCAGGGCAAAGTTGAAAAGTTCCCGCAGGTGCGCGTGGATGGACTCGTTGTCATTCTCAGCCAACTCCCGGACATTCAGCCCCGATGCTGCCATGTAGGTGGCCCCGATGGTCTTGATCTTTTCCACGCTTTTGAATTCGGGTTTGCGAAGGAGCTCGTCAAAGTCTCCGATTAGCTCGTTGAGGACACGGTAGCACTCTTTTCCGCCCTCGTAGCTCTCCTCATAGAACTCACTGAAGTTTACGATACTGGCAAAGATCACGCCTACGCTGTCGTGATTCTTGGAGTAGCTCTGGGTCACCTAAGGAAACAGTGAAATGTGTTGAATAATAAAAAATAAAACGGGTTTATACTCAATAGTGGTGATCAATGAGTTTTCCTCTTTTTATCTCTTTTATTCAAGGAAACATACTAAAAATAATGTATTTTAATATTTTCTTAAAATATGATTTGTTATGTTATTAAAAAACAAGCAAAAATATGAAGCATTGTTCTGAAAAACTTCACAAGTAAGTCTGATATTTTAGTTCCAACAACAACAAAAACCTTGAGCTGGTCAGCCACATGGATGGGGATGATGTTGCCCAGTAACCACTCGGCCTGGTCTTGCATCGTCTGGATCTTAAAGCGGTGTTTGTCAGCCTCTACGTTGCCATGGTAATGTAGACGGTAGCTGACCTCGAACTCGCGGTTGAGGAACCAGACCAGGAGAAGAAGCAGGAAGAATGCCAGGACGGCCTCTGGGATCAGGAGGTCAAGAGGTCGCCTAGGAGGTGCCGGGCCAGGAGTGCCAACAGTGGATGAAGAGATATTCAATCTGAGAAAGAAAAGGGGAGAGCAAAAGAAAAATGAGAGGGGTTGAGGCTGAGCATCGGAATAGCAAATAAAGGCAGAGCAGAGAAGGAAAATGATTGACAGGATTAAGAGGAGAGATGAAATGGAGGCATGAGTGTTCGCAGACACAAAAACCGCTGCTGGTGTTTCACCTTGTGTTTCCTGGCCCAGTTTGTTGTGAGGTGTTGTATGACATGACAAATATTTTCAGTGCCGCCTAAATAAGGTATGAGAACAGGATTTGTTTTTGGACTATCAATGGGATAGTGTAAAATTCTCGCAATTTTACACCAATTTTACACCAAAGTTTACACCAAAGTTTATTCATCTGGCAGGGATACTTGTTTCTCGACTGACGTCAATAAATCACATCCAATACACACTACTAGTGCGCTACAGAGGAAAAAAATAAAATGGTTATGCTCCGCTGGGGTTGTAACTCAAATGCATTGTGGGAGTTGTGGGATATCACCAATTGAAGTCATAGTAGATGAAAAGAAGGCTTGAAATGCCGACAGCTAATTTAATTCAATTTGAACTAAAGAAAGACTGTTGAAAGTGTGTATAATGTGCTTCATTTACAAAGCAAAATAGAGAACATTGTAGTGGACAATACAGATAGAGAATAGTTTCTAAATTCATTTAATTGTTTAAGATGTACTTTTAACAATTTCAACAAAGTACTCAAAATATGCCTTAAGCTTATAATTGTAGCATTAAAAATACGCACGCAGGTGAACGCATAAGAAAACTGATCTTAAGAGACGCTTGAAGCATCATTTGTCCTTAAAAACCCTCAGAAACCTCATGTTCCAGCAGGTTTAAAAACTAATATTAAATGGAGAACAACCAGAAGGTCCCCTGACTGCAGCATATGCTCATAAAACTATTCTGTTAGAACAGCAGTGTGCTCAATAGAAAATGCTCACGTATAAAAGAAAGCCCTCTCTCCTTCACAGTAGTGTAGTAATGCTATAAAACTCAATATAAGCCAGCACAAGGTGTATGAGTCACTTGGTGACATTTAGCAGCCATTACTGCTGGTGCACACATGAAGAAACACAGGTAGAGAGAGGAGGTGAATATAAAGCAAGACAGCGTGAGATTGAGTAGAAGCCAGAGAGAGCTGTAGTTATGAAAAATATAATAGAGTGCCCTCGCTCCGGTTGACCCCTTTAAATGTCAATCATCCATCAAACCCTTCTGCTTCCACGGAGACACTCACCCATGAACTGGCGAGCTGTTATTACCGCCGCTAAACAAAGAGGAAAAGAGTGGCGTCAGTCAGGAGAAAGGTCTTGTGCACAGAACATAATAAATCCTCTTTACTGGCTGAAGAACAGGTAGATGTGTAGGGGTATGTTGCACCAAACAACTAATGGTGGAGAATAATGCATTAATGAATGGCTATCAAGGACACAGGTGGATCTGGATTGTATGCAGATATATAAACAATGATATGGGCTGTACATAAGTTATTTCACATATGGGTCTATTTCCTAGCTTTTACTAAAATGCTGCTTATACAACTTATTTTTTTGTATAAGTGAGGATTGGAGCACAATTATCAGTGCTTACTCATTGAACTAGTATGAAATTAGAAAAGCGCAGAATGGTTTACAATTATTTCATTTTAATGAGTGCAAGTGCATATTGTGGATAATATAACCAGTAGGGGTGAGGATCTTTTGGTATTTCCAGTTTCAACTTAAAATCAATTCACAATTAAGTATATGGGGGTGCTGATTTCAGAAACTACTCCAGCCAGCTGTGGCCTGATAAAGGAGGTGTGGCCAACTGTGGGATGAATGCAGAGTGGAGTGTGTTATAGTAAGGTTATGGGTTTTTTATATTTGAAAACAGTCAACTGACTTAATGTGAATACAAAAAGGGAAATATAAGACAGAAGGTTACATTTATTCATTCTATACTTGCAAAAAAAACACTTTATGCTAAAAAAATGTTTGGGTACAAAGTTTAAATATAGAATGCTGTCAGTTATAAATATGACATTGATAGGTAAGTGCCTTTGTATTATCCAGTGTACAAAAAAGTACACAAAACATCAGTGCAAAACATTTTATTTGTGTGATATTGTTTTTCTACAATAACTAGAATTGCTTTCCATCAGTAACCACATCTGGTCTCTTCGTTAGGAACATGTCTTTTTTTTGTATCAATATTTTTCAAGTTGGGAATCACTTCAAAATCTTAGAAGGTACAAGAATCTCAATACTAACATGAAGAAAAAAAATTCAAATGCCCCTAATAACGTTGTGTGTTTATACAAAATGTGCTTCTGTCAACTTGTGTGTACTTTATATTTGCATGTGTTATTTTTGTATGTTAGCAAATAGCAAGTGCTCTCCTGTACCTGTGTGCGGGGCAGTACAGCAGCAGCAGCAGGGCGACCCCCGTCACAGTGGCCAGGACGGAGCGCATCCAGAAACTGAGCTGACAGAAGTTACAGTACTGGATGATGGCCAGGATGGTGGCGCAGCACAGGAACATGGTCACCTGGAGAGAAGAGGCCAGTCATTTAGGTGCTTAACAGAGCAAATAGAGAGTGAAAAGCAAAACATACAAAACCCAATACAGTTAATGTGCTTTTAAGTACTTTTTGACTTTAATAAAGAAGAAAAGGAAATGCCTTTGTTTAAAGAATATTTGTGTTTTCTGCAACTCTCATTTAATTTATTAATGTACAATTTGTTTTTGACCAAAATATTCATTAGGAGGTATACACACATTACTGAATAAACTAGTTCCAAACACAATAACGTTATTCGTTTTTCCGATCCATGTGAAATACTGCAGCTTGTGTCTTTTCTCTGCACGTAAACTAACTGGCATATACAATTATAAATGTACATCTTCATACATCAAATGCAAGAAAATACTTTTCAAGGTGCTTTGGTGGGAGTACCTTATTTTTATGATACATGTGATTTGAATGTAAATTGTAAATTAGTGGTGATTCTGGCTCTCAGTGATCCTGTATTCATTGATCTATTCAAGCAAACACACAGCAAGACCCAGCGAGACAGCAGGTAGTAATATTGTGACATGCACAGGGTGTCAATGATTATATTAAACATCCCGGCAATGTTGTTATTGGATCTTCTATCTTCAAAGGCAGTTAAGTCCGAAAAACTGTGTCTAATTAACATCCCTCCTTGAGGCTACCACTTTGATCTCCATGCCCCGAAGAGATGGAGAGAGTGGAGGGGAAAGGAAGAGTGGGGTGAGGGAGAGAAATGGATAGACAAATGGGGTGTTGAAAATACCTAAAAAACAAGATATCACACACCGCACATCTTGCGTGCAGCCGCTGGCACAAAGCTGGAAAGAGAGGATAAAACTTCTAAAAGTGCCGGGTATGACCTTTACTCAAAACAGCTCGAGTATGGCTGCTCTCAATCTTCTCACATTCAGGACTCGGAGAAGTGGAAATCTCAACATTTGTGCTGCCAAGGTCCACAGGCGAAGCCTCCTGAAGCCTTCGAGCTGTTTTCCTTTCACAGTTCCTATCAGGGCTAGTGCCAGTTTACGGCTCTGAGGGTCTCCAGGGACCTCTGGCTGCAGACCACCGTGGGCAAGGTCTCAAGCCCCCTGACTCCTCTCTGCTTACTTTGGCTTACAAATATCAGTGAGGGCGAACCATTGTAGCTTGGAAATCTCTATTAGTAACTTTATCGGAATTAACAGTAGTCCATTTACGGCTTGGTTAGTTCTGTTTCTCTGTCCAACTACCGGCCCGTGTTTCATGAAAGCTGATCGACAGGTGAAGCATGGGCCAAGGGAGAACCGATTAAGTTTTGAAGTGGATCAGAATCATGGGGCGGATAAACACACACATAATGTTTCAGGTATATTCCCGTAATCGCCCCCTTAAGTTGAAACAATATATCAGAAACAGATATCAACTTGGTGTTTTAAGGCTCTGATGAATAAAATACATCACATCCTCACAAGGACTTTTCCAGTTCTTATCCTACCACCAACCAACGGACATCTTTACCTGGAGCGGCAAGTGGACGCTGCAGCTGAGGTGGGACAAGACAGAGATGGCAGGGAGGGAGACCAACACCGCCCCGATCACATGACGGGGGACCCATCCAGAGACCACCAGGAGCAGAGAGCGGGTACAGCTCATCACCTCCTCCAGATAGAAGGCCATACTGCAGGAGAGGAGAGGAGAGGAGAGGAGAGGAGAGGAGAGGAGAGGAGAGGAGAGGAGAGGAGAGGAGAGGAGAGGAGAGGAGAGGAGAGGAGGGGGAGGGAGGAGAGGAGAGGAGAGAGGATGAGTTTCCAGCAGCACAACTCCAATGCAATATCAGTTTGCACTAAATGGAACCTAAATTAAAAGCAACAAAAACATGACCAAACTAATCCTAGTCACACACAAATCAAAGTTAAGTATGTGTATGTAAGGCAACAGAAGGCCTGAATTTAATTTAAACATAACATAGCCATAGAACTTGTTCTCGTAGCAGGCATGACGCGTTTGTGGGTACTCAGCTATGCAGTCTACCGGCATGCTGCTTATGCATTTCGTATTAAGCACACATGTAATTAAATATAATTATGTAATTGAAATCAGACCCATTGTCACTAATACCTGATTCCAGCTATTTGAGGAATTGGCAGAATATCTAGTATAAGATTGATGCATCCCTTATTACAAAAAACGTATGCTGTCAAAGTCGCAGCTAGAAGATAAATGTTGAAACACAATTTATTTTCTAAAGTAATAAATGGAAATTAATCCCTTCTCAAACGTTCCCCACTGAGATACATTCACATCGATAACACACCACCACATAAAACAAGTACTTAAAATACTGGTCATTTTGCACAGCGTATATTTTGCAAATTTTTGAGCCAATACTTGTCTTTGCACATTCATCTGCACATGTTTTTATAAATCAATACAGGTTTATACATTCTAATGCAGGAGCAAACCAACAAATCAAATAACTAAGTTTTGGTTTTAGTTGAGATATGTAGTGCTATGGGATGGTCCATCAGTTGTTTTTAATACTGTGTCACTGAGACCCAACAGATACGGGCTTTTAATTCAGTCCACCAATGCAGCTGTTCATTTGGAAACAAACACATAGATATAATTGGGCCATAATGACACAGCACTGACAACAACATAAAGCTGAATAGCATATTAACTGCTTTTCAATCACGCCAGGAAAACATTATCTGACGGAAACACAAAGTTCTTCAACCAAGTCAACCAAGTCTCAGACCATGAATGTGTAATCTCTTATACATATTTTTTAACTGTACTTAAAAACTAGTCAGCTCCCACACAGAGAACACTGAGAGCCTCCTCACCGTATGGACAGCACCAGGGAGGCCAGCTCCAACAGGCCAGCCAGGGGGGCCACGGCCAGGGCAGCAGGGGCCGGGGGGCCCACGATCTTCGGGCTCACCAGAGGGGGAAGGAAGCAGGCCAGAGTCAGAGCCAAAAAGAAAAAACAGCTGAGGAGAACATCCAGGAAGGAGCTGAAGGTGGAGCTCGCAAATGTCTGCATCTGGACCTGGTCCTTCACCTGGAGGAGAGGAAGGGGAGTTAAACTGAGGAGAAGCAGGGGGTCAATGTTCAGAGAAATCATGCCTGCACCTTATATACTGCATACCCACAGGTGTTTTACCATAATTTGAGAGTCTACCTAAGATATAACAGCTACATTTAAACAACAGTGAACATTTGAATATTATGAACGTTCTGTTCAGTTTTATTTATTGTTCTGCTTTCAAAGAGTACAAAAATTAAGAAAAATACAAGATGTTAGCAGTTATGTGTAGTAATAAGGTTATCATAGTACAGCCCTACTATGGTGAAAGGTGGTTATTATCAGTGTGTAGAAAAAACCAAAGTTAACATCTTGTCTCCTGCCGTTTCTACACTGTAGGGCTGTCAGGCAATGTGCCTCAAACTATTGAAATTAAAAACACACACACACACATTAAGTGGATACTATCTTTTGAATATCAATGTAAACATAAAAGTGGAAAAACATAATGTAATGTCAACTAAAATGTTTAAACTAATGCAAAGTTAGGCTTAATGAGCTCATGAGTATCCATTTACAGCTTAGACACAAAGCCCCTGCCAAAGACTGATCATTATTGAGTATCATTGTAGGTTTGCATGAAGTTCATTGAGATTGAATATGAGTGTTTTGAGCTCTGTAGTAACACGGGTGTAACAGCAGGGGGCTGTAAGGCTCTGAGGTCAATGCAGGCCAATGGAAAAGGTCCTGTGTGTGTGAGTGTGTGTGTGAGAGAGAGAGAGAGAGAGAGAGAGAGAGAGAGAGAGAGAGAGAGAGAGAGAGAGAGAGAGAGAAGAGAGAGAGAGAGAGAGAGAGAGAGAGAGAGAGAGAGAGAGAGAGAGAGAGAGAGAGAGAGAGAGAGTGTGTGTGTGTGTGTGTGTGTGTGTGTGTGTGTGTGTGTGTGTGTGTGTGTGTGTGTGTGTGTGTGTGTGTGTGTACCTCCTCCTTGTAGCTGCTGCGATAGGCCTTTTCCAGAGGTCTTTCTAGGAAATTGAGGCTGATCTTATTGATGGGTGGCTTGAAGAAGTAGTCCTTCATCAGACTGTGAACAACCACAAAAAACATAAATTAATATAGGAAATATATTCAACCTTCGCTAACAAAATGTGCCAATGCCAATCTAAATCTACCTGTACATCTACTCTATTTGGAGTAGATGTTACCGTTATGAAGAATGGATTTTGCAACCTGTGAACCTGTTTATCAGTTACACTTACCACCGGTACATTCCATTGGGCAAGTTTTAACACGGCAATCGTACTTGAATTATATGTCCTCTGAAAGTAAATATACAAGTGTGGCAAATGTATTTATTCATCATTTAAGATGTGAGTTTGCATAATTGTCTCTGTGTTCTTTTTTTTTATACATTCAGATGACATAGTAAATGTATGTATCTGTCTTATGCTATGTGTTATGTTAAGTGACACCTCAAACGTTTATACGTAGAGGTTTATATCACTTATATAATAAATTAGAAAGTTCAAAAATATAAATATGACATTATGTTATTCATGACCAAATGGATCCCTGCATCACTAATCATTGAAAATCAGTCACCTTTGAGTAATGCACTCATAAATTCTACCTTCAACCTCCTGGCTCACCTGTCCTCCCTGATAACATCCACAAAGTGAACGTCGCTCTTTTCTCTGAAGTTCTTTGCCCGCAGCTGGATCAGAGCGGAGTGTTCCATCCCCGTTCCCGCTGCCCCCCCGCCGCCCGCCATGCCCAGACTGGTGCCGGTGCCTGTGCTCGTGCTCGTCTTCTTCTCTTTCTCCTGGAGCATGTCGCACAGGGAGCTCTGGCTGGCTCGCACCGGGTCCTCCAGCGGGGGCGGACTCAGGAGACCGTTGGCTGCTCGGGGGCTCTGACCTGGGGTGAACTGGATCAGGAGGAGAGGGGGAGGAAGAGAGGAAAAGAGAGGGACAACATTAAAATAGTGACAAATGCTTAAAATGATGCTTGACAAAACACTGGTGCTGTCACTGTACGTGCGTGTGCGTGTGCGTGTGCGTGTGCGTGTGCGTGTTGTACTTTGGCACTGCTGCTCTTGTGCTCCTCCTGGCAGCCGTTCAGCACGGCCACATCTTCTCCCTGCTCTGCCCCCGGAGACAAGGCCACACTGCGGGACACACAGGGAGGCTGGGGAGACAAAGGACAGTGTGGGGGGGAGAGAGGTTGACAAATGAATACATTTCACGAAGAGGCAGTGAAAGATATAACAACACTTAGACGGGAGTGTTTGAGTGTATACAATATGCCAACAGCTCATTGACTCTTTCACTCAAAATAAGGGGTGGACGATACATCCAAAGTACCTTTACAATGATCGCACGCATCAAAAGGTTTAAAAACACAGTATTTTAGAGAAAATACAGGAAGATCTTTATACAAATGGCAAATTTACAATTATACAAATATTATTTATAATCTATCAAACAATCAGAATCAGAAGTCTTTTTATATTATTTAGTTATTATATTTTATTTCATAAATAATAATGCATGGTCATACTTTTTTTAATAAAAAAACATAGAAGAATAAACAGTAGATGTATTTTTCATTATGTTTAACCCTCACATTGTATTTTTTCTGACTTACCCTGATCCTGTCCAGGGGTTGGTGGCGCAGCGGGGGCTCAGCAGCCTGCGGACCCCCGGGGATGAGGTCCGGTGTGCCGGGCTGAGGACAGGAGGACAGGCCGACCCCACCCATCTCTCCACCTGACAGTCCCACCTGAGGACAGACACACTGAGCGTCCAGCTCCACCTTCCTTCCTGAGATCAGGTAGGTTTTCAGCCCTGAGGGGAAGCACAAACAAAAACTCTGTTGAGAACTCTGCTGTCCTGATGTCAGTGAGAAACAAATATATATATAATCAGCTGGTTATAGCTTTAATTATGCAAATCGTATAGCTTGTGCTTCTTTGTTATGTAATTGGATGTTGAGGATACCAAATCAGAAATGAAATCTCACAGTACTTCTGAGTGACAGGTGTTCATGATTTTCAAGATATTTCAAGATATTTGCCTTATCAGCCACTCTTTGTTAATGCACACACATCAGGCCAGAGCTCTGGCCATGTTCACACTCGTGTAGGGCCAACAAGGAAATATACAAACAGTGGATTAGAGTAGTGGCCCACAGCCAGCCGCTATCAGCCTGTCCAAACACACGGTAACCCGCCTCTCTGTTCAAACAGCTAGATGCGCTAACCTTGTTAGCAGGGTGACGACTGCAGGAGCAACTGTAGGCCATAAAGGAACCTGCTCCAGGGGTCTTTACGGGCTCCCTGCCTCACACTGGTTGCTGGTGTTACATTTCATTGTTATGTACACTATTTACTCCTGAAAAGGAACCCCTCATTTGGCTCCCCTGCTCCGTTGGTATGAGATATTCCTAGAGTACAACACAACTTCTGTGTTTTGTAGAAAGCCCATTCCTGCATCAGTGAGCTTTTAAGTTTGAGAGATAACAGCTTCCAGGACAAAACACTGCATGATAAACTAAGATATTTCTTAGATTTTATTATGACTGTGGTCAAGTTTTGACAGGATTGTCACTGCAAACAATTTAAATATTTATAAAATCATTAGATGTTGGATATTCAAGTTGTTGCGAAAAGTGAATATTTTGTATTGTCTCTTAATAGAATGTGTTCATCATTGTATAAGAAAGTTGTCACTAAAGACATTACCGTATAAAATGCAGCTTTTATTGATTTAATTTGATAGGTGCCTGTAAAAACCTATATGACAATATATGAATATAAAAAAGGAAACATAAAATAAGCACAATTCAGTCTATGATTTTAATTAGTTGATGCTGCCCCTCACTGACACACTAATGTTAACTTTGAGCTGTGTTCCCTTCGAGAAAGATCCTCACCCCCTGAATATACGTCTTGTTAATAGAACGTTTCTTTTTCAACAGAAAAGAGGAGAGATATGCGTATGATGTGTCAACCTGTGTAAGTGTGACTGATGAGCATCCGACCCATATGTGAAAGCGTGTGCGTCAGTCTGATGCTGAGGGGGTGTGTTCATTAGTCTGTTTGTGTACTACAGAATTTTTGGTGAAAAACACACACACACACACACACACACACACACACACACACACACACACACACACACACACACACACACACACACACACACACACACACACACACACACACACACACACACACACACACACACACACACACACACACACACACACACACACACACACACACACACACACACACACACACACACACACACACACACACACACACACACACACACAGGACTCTCATCTCACTGGATGTATTTACTGTTTTATATCTCACCATCTCCTTTGATCCTCCTTACAAGGTACTCCTTATCTTGTTCTGTGTAATAGTTATCTTATGTGATAAGAGAGTGATAACCTTTATGAACCAAGGGCATTTTATAGAGCTGCAGCCATGTTGTTTCTGCTTCTTCTACTACTGAGTTTCATTAATGTGAATTTAGGAATTAATAACGTGGAACAAGAATAAGAACTTCCCCCTTAGGAATTCAAAGGAATCGTTATCATCAATAAAAAGTTCATGGTTAAAGTAATTTGTAATAGTCTTTAGCCTCTCAAATATGGAGAATTACTGCTTTTCTGTTTTATTTATCATATTAAACTTGATATATAGTATGGTTTTGGATTGACAAAACAAGCAGTGAAAGATATTGACTTAAAAAAATCATATTTTTCACTATTTTCTTATTTTTTATAGAATAAAGGATCAAATAAAGGTCCTATGATTTATTGAATCACTGTTTCATGTATGAAAGTTAATCTGCTGTGACATGCAAATATAAAAAGATACAGAGGTTAAGTTTGCCTCTGTGAAAACAAAGTGTTTCAGCAGCTTTAGAATTTAATAGAATTAGTTATGAATGCGTCACTAACAAGGAACCTATCTTGGAGTCTGAAGCACAGTGTCTCTTGTTCCGTGCCCTGGGACTGTCCACTTGGCAGACGCTCTCAGCCTGTAGGCCAACAACAGCCCCAATTTAGGGTTTGAGTCCTCTGACAAGCGGGCGACAAAGGCCATTTTGGAGATCTCGACCCACTCACACACATGCGCGCACACATACACACACTGTCACGCAAAGGTTCACTGCTGGTCCTTACCGTCTAGTAGCTCGAAAGCAGGAGCTGTGTACCCCGTAAGAAAATTGATTAAAAAACTCCACTGATTTACTGTTAGGTCTTCAATTAAGATATTTTTCAGTAAACAGCAGATAGCGAAAGCAGACCAGCAAACGGCGAAGAGATGTTGAGGGGGAGGAAGAGGCCAAGAGTACTTTAAAGGTCACTGAGTTTAGCATGCCTCGCATAACCCACATTCCTTGTCTTCTTCCATTTCAGCTTTCTAACTTTATCAACAGCTTGCTCTGAACTCTAAAACAGGGCCTTGAATTGTAAGGGCAATTAAAGGCCTGACATAAGAGACAAAGAAAAATTGAAGTTTTTTGACAATAGTTTTCTGAGTGTCTACTATCTTCTGTGTGTCATCAAAGCTCTACAGCTTACAGTAACAACGCTAATCCTTTATTACTGAGTGTGTGCAGCCAAATCCAATGAAACAAATGTGTCTTGTGTGTGTGTGTGTGTATAGATCTTCCCTCGTCTCTGTAAAGGCAGCGCTCTGGGAAATAAACTGACACCAGCATTTTAAAAAGTCTCAATGCAGCTCAATGTTTTTATTGATTTATTTAGACCAGCTTGAGCACAGAGAGTTCAGCTGAGGACGGTTTACTACTACAACAACTACAATAAACACACACATACAAACACACACAGACAAAGAGACCCATACAGTATGCATGTACATCTAGTCATGAACACACTGGCAGACCTGATGAATCGACAGAGCTTTAACTAAGTGTGGCAACATGAGCAAAACATGGAAAATAAACATAGTGAGGCCTCATCATCTTAACGGCTTAACCACGCTTTCCTCAACATTTTCTGAAGTGAGCCATCTCCAGTGATTTTCATTAGGGCTGCATGATTAGGGTAGTGTTGACTGATTGTAATTGTGATATGATTAGCCATGTTAGAGGGGATGATGGGTATTTAAAAATGTTCCTCATTATTATGAAAAATATGTTAAAGGTCCCATGTCATGGCCATTTCTACTGATCATAATTCCATTGTTGAGGTCTACTAGAATAGATTTATATAGTGTGCAATTTTCCAAAATCACATTGGTTTCTCATACAGCATCTATGTATAGTATGTGTATTCACTCTCTGTCCTAAACGGCTTGTTGGAGCTCCTGCCCCCCCCTCCCTGTGAGCCCAGTGGCCGTCTGCGAGACAGCGAGACACAGTGAAACCCAGCCGGAAACCAGCCCACATGCACACACCCGCAGCCTGGCTGGGAGTTTGTGTGTGTGCTCACACACCGACTCACAGCCTCGCCGCGTCCCGCCGTCTCAGGGAGGAGAAATCGGCGGAGCTGCAGCTGAGAAAAGATTGAGTGTGTGTGAGGAAGTCCGCGGATTGGTCAATTTGGACCAATCCACGGACTTAACCTAACGGCTCCGCGGACGTAACGTAACGGCTCCACGGATTGGTCCATTTGGACCAATGGGTCCATTTGGGTATGGGCACGTCACTGTACCCAGGAAGAAAAAGAGAAATCTCCAACGAGGCGTTCTGGGGCAGCATAGACAGGTATTTTCTGTGTTAGAGTTGTACTCGCTCCAGGGTGTACTTTGAGGGTTTGTGACTTTGCAGACGGTTTACATGGATAAAAAGCTACATAACCGGAAAAGCATGACATGGGACCTTTAAAACTATTGTGGAGGGTTTTTTTTATAAGAGGATCTGTAAAAAACTAAATATTTTTTTATTAATTCTGTAGAATACTAATTGTAGGCCGAGACTTCTCTGCAGCACCCCCGCACTTGGAATATTTCCTTTAATAAATATTGCTTTTGTTGCATTACATTTTTACATTACATAGCATTTAGCTGACGCTTTTATCCAAAGAAAATATGTGAAAAAAAACATAAAGATTCAAATTAAGGACAACAAGAATAGTGCTGACTTCAAACAAGCAATATCATTGTAAGTGCAGGTGCTTAAGTAAAACACATTTTATGATTATTTTTTGCAATTTCAATATTGCACTAGTCCATATTGAGATTTAGATCAAATTAATTAATTAAGATGAATTGTGCAGCCCAACCAAAAGCTAATAGGGGCATTTTATATAATTAATGCGTTTTAAACATATTGAGACATTACCATTTAGATTATAAGAATTAATTAATTAATTGTGCATTTTTATTCAATTATTCTTAAATGTGCATTGTTGCCACATAACGTTCCACTGTTGAGTGACTGGAAAACATAAGCTAGTTTAAAAGCATCTGCAATCCCATAAACATTCACCATCTACTGTACTGTCTAAACTCTGCAATAAACACAACCTGATGTGTTAATAAATGTACATTTCTGTTTTGACTGATTGTTCAAATAGGTATGCAATGACACCATCCAAGTGAAAGTGGCCCTTTATTCACAAGACACCCTTTTCAGGAAATATGCAGCATCCGCCGGTGTGAGACATATTGGATAGTGGTATTTCCATATGAAAACACACACACACACACACACACACACACACCGCCTTTCCTGTGAGTATGACTCATACTAGGTAGTGCAATGCAGTGTGATCTCCTGCGCCCCACATAACCTTATTTATTAAAAAACAACCAATAACGTGCTAACACACACACACACACACACCATCTGCACAGTCA